GAGAGAGAGAGAGAGAGAGAGAGAGAGAGTTCTTCTTCTTCCTCTTCTAAGTCCACCATCTCCTCCTCCCCCTCTCGCTACCCGACTTCTCAGTATCTGCAGAGTACGAGAGAGAGAGAGATTGGTGACTTTGGGACTTGACGACATTTTGGTCCAGACGCGACATTGGGATTCAGACATTCGACGAGGGATTATTTGAGACCTGTACCAAAGACTTGGTATTGAAGACATTCCCATCTTCCCCTCTTCTTCGTCTAACCCCCCTCTTCTTCGTCTGTGTATGGTTGGGGACTGGCGCATTCTTCCTGTGTGTGCGCAAGGCCCCTTCACACTATGGAATGATGATGATGTATGTCTGGTCTGCATGGCAAAATTGATTGCTCGGATCATTGGTATTTAAGCCTTTCGCTGTGCTATCTTGTACTCTGTGAGAGAGGTCGGTCCTTATTATGGTCTGCATCTTTACAGTATGCGACATTGAGTGTCCTCTCTTCGTGAGGAGTCTCGAGCGCTCCACCTCAACAGATGAAATTCTTCCCGGTGGCGCATCTGGCAGGAGAGGGCGGTGCCTCTGAAGGGCCCTGGTCGAAGCACGGGTCACAGTCACCATGCCAACCCATGGGAGTAATACATGCAGGCAATGATGCTTTGTCCTTTAAGGCTCTTTGCTGCGTTGATAGAGGGATGTGCGAACTGACCAGTCCTATGCAGACGCTCAGCAGGCCATCTATAAATATTTCTGGCGGGGATCTGATTTGCCCTCTGGCTGTGATCGTCGTCCTGTCCGCGACAAGAAATAATTCCAGAGGACCTTAGGGGCTGTCCTTAAATTGCCTCTTGATCAGCCAGATTAGTCAAGCATAAGGCTCGTTGCATGCGAGGATAAAGAAAGGGCAGTACTGGTCATAAGCATATTCATGGGCAAAGAGGTGGGCCATTAATGCACACCTTAGACACCGTTGCTCGATGATGTGGACAGGCACGTTGGATACAAGGGAGGGAGATTCCAATTGACGCTCAACTGTTAATCACAAACATACCCATTGTGCATACATTTGCTCACATGCTTTTTTTTTTTGTTGATCAGTCAGTGGGCAAAGAGCTAACACCTAACAAACAACCTAGATTAGTACTGTAGTGTTCTACCATAGCCAGTTCTGATTGAAGTTGTTGTGAGTGAAACTAATCAAGATAGGAGTAGATCATGTGTACAGTTTGTGTGAATGTTGTTGATACCTCTTGAACAATAGCCTAGGTAATTTACCGAATATTATTTTATGATTATTTATTTTTCGACTCGGTCAGACACATGCTGCGTTAGGCTCCAGAGAAGGCACTAGTGTAGACAATGTCTGCCTAGCTGATGAGTGTATTAAATAGTGGTGAAGGCACCACTGACGATAGAAGACAAAAACGACGGGATACATGTAGTATACCTGTAGTGTTTCAGGTTCTACTTCGTGGTGACGAGAGAAGGTTCAGGGCCGAAGCAAGGGCCCGACATCTAGAGACTGCGAGAGAGGCAGCAGCAGCTGCAGAACGGGCGCTAGCGGCAGTAGCAGCTAGAGCAGTACCAATGGCTACATCTGCAACGACCTCTTCTGGCCGACCAGCTCGCAGTCCTCGTCCAGTATAGTAGGATCTAATTCTAGTCAGATGGTGGGCTCGAAGTACAACTTGCCACCTCCACGCACTAGAGAAGCCCTTGAACTCCAGCAAGTGGAGTTGATCCACTTACGGTTGGAGAAGGAACTTAGAGAAGATACTGAAAGAGAAAATGAGACTTGAACTAGAAAAGCTAGACTAGAGAATAGGAAGGCAGTCAAAGTTGTTACAGAAGGGTTGGATGACATTGTTATGGATGACAGCACGACGATTCGTGAGGCAGGTCTCCTGTCCATGCATGCATGCATGAACAGTAAATTGGATGTTATCCAGGACACCATTGACCAGATACTGAGCACCATGCAGGGAATGGGAAGAGATTTCCCATCTCCAACAAGTGGGCCCAGTTTTTGGACGTGAGTTTTCCCATCCACGGTCTTCTCACCGGTGATGACTAGTCCTACTATGTCTCAGTTTAGCGGTTTACCAAGCGGTACGTTAGCAGCAGCAGCGCAGACTGTTGCTTCTTCATCTTCTGGTTCCGCGGCTGGTGCTACACAACAGTCGGTCCCATCAGTGGGACAGCAACAGCCTTGGTACCCCAAAACTCCATTGAAGCCACCCTCAACCTTCTCAGGTGATAAGAAGGATGATGTTCTTGACACATGGTTAAGAACAGTTCCAGTGTGGGTCAGGGCAAAGAGGACGTTGGTAGAGGAAGAGGTGATCACTATCGCCTCATATCTAGAGGGTTCGGCAACTTGATGGCTAGATGGATTGGTAGCCTCGAAAGGGTTCGGCAGACACATGAATGATTGGGTTAGGACCCATACTCTTGAGAGCTTCATGAAATTGGTAGAAACACGATGGCACAACCCGCAGCAGGCCCAGCAGGCCACTGGCGCGTTGACCCGGCTTGATACTAAGAAGTACAAATCTGCGTGTGAGCTTACCTCTGTCGTGGAGCGTCTCATTGTCCTCCCCGACGTGTGCTATGATCTGCAGGTCTTCCCACAGACGTCAAGAACCTGAGGTACATTGAGGCCATCATCAAATATCACACGCTGGACTCCTTCAGCAAGAAGGCCCTGAACCTAGAGGCTAGGCTAGGAGGAGCCCAACAAACCCCTACAGACAGAAGAAAGAAGAAGCGTCCACAAGAGTGGAAAACGAAAGGTAGTCTATTGATGATGGTTGATTTCGAAGGGAATCAAACTGAGATCGATGATT